ACAGACTGCATTCTATGGTGGAATAGCAACCTTCTAATTCTGACCCTGTCTGATAAAGCGGGTGGTCAACTTCTACCCCAGCACTAATTTGAAAAAAAAAAATCAGTACATACTAATTTTGTGTGGACTTGTTTTAGGATACCATATTCACATTGTCCTTATAGTGCAGAAAAAGATACACTGTAACTTTTTCTTTCATGGTCGCAAGTAGAATTTCTTTGGATGGTTTTGAAGTGCTAAGCACATAGTATCCATAGGTGTCAAAAAAATGACCGGAATGCAACATACTTAAAATATACAGCTTATTGAAAATTGATAAAAATAAGCTTTTGTGATACAATTTTTGCAAATTTAATTAGAGAAATAAAATTTTTGACTTTTATACGTGTTCATCATATCCATAGCCATTATTTGTACCATGTTGTACTCTATATAAGTGTGTATTTGTATTTATTGTATATTTAGATATTGTCGTATTGTCCCTTTAACATATTTGTTGTATTGTCTCTTTAAGATTTCATTTTCAAACAAGTTACCGAAAATGGTTAAAAAATGTTTAATTTCAGAGCATGTTTCCACTATTCATTTTGGGACACATCCACTGATTTCTACAATACAGAAATGTGGAAGATTAAATAATAACGGCAACGAAGCCTAATTGCGTCGAAGTGGGTGACATTGAACAGTGTAGTATGGTAGCTACAGCTCTCGGGCACCGTCAGCTGCACCTTCAGGACCGGATTTAGAATAAGAGAGGCCCTAGGCAAACCCCCTGAACAGGGCCCACGACATGGACCTTGGGGCCCTGGGACAAGCAACTCGGTGAGAGGGTGGGTCGGATGACGTCATGCGGTTGGTGGTTCGAATCTCACTTTTAGGTGAATTTTTCATTTTCGTTGGATTATTTTATTTAAAATAATGTCTATTTGAGAGTAATGGATATGTTTGTTAAGATTGAGCACGTCGAAACTCCAATGGAAGGTCGTGGACAACTGCAGAAGTCAATTCCCGTTGACGCCAGATGAGCCATGAACGATTACAGGCCTTTGAAAGAATTTTTTTTCAAGATATTTTTATAAAACAGATACTAATGTATTTTAGGGCTGGTAGTAAACACCATATGAATGAAAAGGAAAATAAATTGTTAGGTTTTTTTATCGACTACGGTTAATTTCATGGGTTATTGTTTCCTTTACCTAGTTTTTGTCAAGTCGATTCCGGTCATTTTTATTTTTTGTATCAAATGTTGGGAGGTTGCTTGTTCACGTGAGCATAAATTTTTTAAACCCACCCCATGAGAGAAGTAGCTATAGGGCGTCAAACTTTGAGTGACGAAAAATGGGGAATTTAGACAGGCTTTGATATCCAGTCCGTATACAGATCTCGTTCAACAGAATCGTCTGAAGTTAATATTGTGGTAACAGCACTGAGTCATCGATAAACTGTGTGAGTTTGGTCTTTCTGCTACGTATAGTAAAGGTGTAAGGACTTGCCGAAGTTGGTATTTGAGAAAAGACAGATTTTGGCAATTTCACCATATGAAAAATGTTTTTTCAATTTTCTCATACAGGAATTGAAAGATTTATCTAATATTGCACATTTATGTGTTTTGAGACTATCCCAACTTATAAACCAAATTTGGTCAAAATCTGTGATTGAAGCCTTAGCACCTTCTGCATGGTTTTCTCGCGGACACGCTCTTAATAACTTAGTCTCGTATTAACTGACGATTCATTTAATACACCTCGTCCAATGGAATTCGGATTCAAAATTTAGACCAAAAGCCTCATTTGAAAATTTTAAGTCTAGTCTCTTTAACCACAGCGAAGAATTTCAACCCCAGGGAGTCGCTTCATGAAGTTTAGAGAACTTTTACACTGATTCCACTTCGCTTAGGACCAGATCCCAAGACATTTTCATTTTGGGCGACAGGTGTATATAAATGAGAGAGAGGGAGAAATGGGGTTTGACGTCAAGCGACACAAACTAGGTCATTTCGGGACTAACATATGGTTCAATTTTATTTCCATAATTCGCTTGCGCGTACGGGCCTTTAGCAGTGGGAGGAAGTTTCTGGTATATTTACATTTCTCCATTACCAGCCGATGCTTCCGTTTAGTTTTTTGCTGGGGTTGTTGCGGATGTAAACTAGTAATATGTCGTTAATGGTATGTATGATCGGCGTAAGGCACATAGTATCATCGATGACTACTAATACTACCACTACTATTTCTGCAACTACATGTACTACTACCGCCACCAAAAGCCCACGGGTTTAGACTAATCACAGAGAACGTTGAAGGACCGTAGATTCACCCAGTCTCCGCTAGACCGATAAGTGGAACTTTCTTTTTTTGCCATGAACCGCGGGGTCCTGGGCCTGGGCCCGTTTGACTCATGCCTAAGTTGGGCTGTTCCGCCACCACCACAACTACTACTACACTGATGACACTCCTTCATTGTAAACTTCCAATCGTGTAATAATAATTAGTTTATAATAATAAATAACTAAGATATACATATGCTCATAAAACAACCTGGACACCCTAGTGATGTGCACTTTAATGGGATGTTCACTAATAACAATTGATCCCTTGTAAACCCCATGTCGACAGTGGGTTTAACCCGCAACATCAATGAACCATTGTTATTAAACATTAGATAATAATAAGTGTTCCGATAGACTTCTTGTTTCAGATTATGAAATGAATGATGAAATGGAGTTTAACGTCCTACTGTTCTGTTCCGAACTGGGCTAATGAAGATCAGGCATACGCCATACAGTGTAGTATGAGGGAAATTTTGCCCTGACAGGGGGGGTTGGATGGCTGAATGGTTAGCGTGCGCGCGCTGTTTCATAAAGTCTGTCATTGAGTCAACTGGCGTGGTTTCGAATCTCCGGTTGTACGTGGCAAGGAGTAGGGTCGCCTGTCCAACCTCGTGGGTTTTCTCCGGGTCCTCCGGTTTCCTCCCACTGCTAAAGACCCCTACGCGCAAGCGAATTATGTAAATAAATTTAAACCATATGTTAGTCCCGAAATGACCTAGTTTGTGTCGAGTGGACGTTAAACCCCATTTCTCTCTCTCTCTTTGCCCTGACAGCGGCACTAAGGCCTACTCTTATATCGAATTCCAACTGTCAAGTGATCTTTTACGAGCACGCCAATGTGTACACGGGACCTCGGTTTTTTGTCCCATCCGAACAACGAGACAGCTGTCCTTGTCAGGCCCTTCCGTCCTGCATCACTGACAAGATGGGGAGGGGGCACGCCGGATGCCCCAATGCAGGGATCGAACACCCGACCTCCAGACTAGCGAGCCAGCGTCTTACGCACTTAGCCACCGTAATCCCCTGTTTCAGATTAAATAACACCACAGCTATACAATTATAATTAGAGGAAATAAGTCATTCCGTTGGCTGTTGATAAAACACACAACCAGATGAATTAACTTCGATTTATTTCAATTATTACGCGATTCTTTGTGATAACAAGCCCACACCCTGGCTGGGTAAATTGGTCTGATTTATCGATCTTCTGACAATTGATTTATTATACAACAATAGCTAAACAATCAGTTCACAATGATTGATTTTATTACTTCCCTTTCTGGAAATCAAATAACATTTTTTTATTTCTTTTGTTTCATTAATTTGATTTATTGTAATGCAGGTTGTATGTGGGTTTTCTCTGGGTCCTCCGGTTTCCTCCCACTGCTAAAGATCTCTACGCGCAAGCGAATTATCGAAATAAAATTAAACCATATGTTAGTCCCGAAATTACCTAGTTTATGTCGAGTGGACGTTAAACCCAATCTCTCTCTCTCTCTCAGCAAGCTACACGCAAGAGTGGCGTAATGAGGGGTATAGGGAGCTGCCAATGCCAATCGCTAAATTGTACTGTCGTACACCAGGTGAGCTATGCTTAATCGCGTTTTGAAAATGAAACGAAATGAAACTGGGTTTCCGGCCTTCTTTTCTGCAAGATGGGGCATACGTTTGCTATGATGGAAAATTTTATAGTTTTTTAATGTTATTTCTGATGTGTATGTGTGCTCTGCGTTCTTTCAAATCTCTGTTTTATAGTTTTATAAATAATGAATTTAAACAACCGTAATATAAGTTTGGGTTCGAAACCACGCCACTTGACTCAATGACCTAAATGAAATGAAATGAAATGAAATGAAATGGGGGTTAACGTCCTACTGTTCTGCTTCGAACTGGGCTAATGAAGACGGACATACGCCATACAGTGTGCTATGGGGGAAATTGTGCCCGGACAGCGGCACTACGGCCTACTCTTATATCGAATTCCAACTGTCAAGGGATCTTTTGCGTGCACACTGGACCTCGGTTTTTCGTACCATCCGAACGACTAGACAGCTGTCCTTGTCAGGCCTTCCGTCCTGCATCACTGACAAGGGGGGACCACGCAGACCTTATGACCACTCGAATAAAAGTTGGAAAATCTATTGCTATCCTGTCCAAAAATTTCCCTCGTCTTACACTAAATGGCGCATGCCCGTCTTCATTTGCCCCGTTGGTGCAGAAAAAGTAGGACGTTAACCGCCATTTTATTTATTCATTCATTCATTTATAAATCTTAGTCGACTTGAAATGATTGAATTAAACGTCGTGCGGTTTGAGTTCACAGTGGTCTTCCTTTTGTAATAACCATTTAAAATAAGATCACACCCAAGGAATAAAAACTGTACAATCAAACACAAACGACGGTGCAAAGGGTGACAACAAGTTCACCCATTGCGACTGTCAAAGGTGAATTGATTGACGAAACGGTGTAGATAAGGGGGGATAACTCCAATAAATGACCTCGAATGAATGAACAGACTTCCAAGCGTCTGGAACAGAACAGAAACTGTATGAATTACGTCTTCACAAGCTTTGAATTCGGTTTGATATACGAAACTACAACCCAGTACATGTTTGCGCTTCATGACGATATCACAGAACACTAAGTTCTTGAAATAAAACTAGGAAAGGCTTTTAAAAAGTTCTGGGAATGCAAATTAATATTATTGTGAAATCGAAGTCATTAGATATAATGTATGAATATATAATGATATATATGTACACATTGAAAACAAATGTTTTTAAAATACTGTAGTAGAATCCCGTCTTGCCGTCTTTACATGATAAAACTCGAGGACCGTTAGACCTACTGAAAAATAAATAAAACTTTAATAATTCTTAAGCAGAATTCAACAAGATAAAGGAAAAACAAAATAACATTTTTAATTTATAAAAAACAAAATAAAAATAGTATTAAACTTTCATTGCGTCTTTTTTTCACATTGTCTATAATAATATATAAACAAAATTTTATGATTCTTAAGAACAATTCAAAATGATAAAGGGGCAACAAAATCACATATTTAATCTATAAAACGGCATAGAAATAGTCCTAAATTTTCATTGTGTCTTTTTTCACCTTATCTAAAAATCTTGCTAAGCGATTGCCAAACATAGCAAAGACATTAGAGCAAGAACGGAAGGAAATACGGCTGCAGATTTTGAACTCTTTCCCGCGGGTCTATCAGTTGGTAAACGCGGTTGTGTGTTTATTGGACAATTTGTTGTAGCAGGAATTTCATTGGTATCAAATCCTGATATATTCGAATCATTTTTAGTAACACTTTGCGGCGTGGTGCTGTGGCTGTGTATCGTTGTCGGGGATCTCCGTGGGGTCACTTCTGAAGTGGTCTGCACATTTTCGGGTTTTACTTTTAACGATGGCTGGGTTACACGGTGAATAAATGGGCGACCGATGTCGAATGGGGTCACTGGGGTCACTGTAACAGGTTGCACAGATGGCGTAGTTGTTAACAGCTGCTTTGCAAGTCTCCTTCGATGCTCAGGAATTACAAATGGGTGGCCTAACTTGAATGGCACGGCATTTCTTCGCGTTCTCGTCTGGACTGAAATGGCTGGGTACGACGGTCTAGCAATAGAAAGATATCGTTGTGGTGTGAAAGGAGTACTTACTTGGGAAGGTGGCGTTGTTCCCAAATCTGGCTGGACAGTAGCTGGAGCTCCTTGACTGGCTGCAAGGATACTTTGGGACTGGGTGCCTGTTGCATTATGTTGTTTGACTGCTGCAAAGTAATTGGTAGGTGCTGGAGGTGGTGTGGACACGCCGTTCAAATTCATAACACCACTTGGAGCCAAAGACGTTAATAAGTCTGTTGTAGGTACGTTGGCTTTTGCTGCTAATATTGGTATTCTGGAACAACGAACAGTTAATGCTACATGAGCACTTACGGATAAACATATTGATGACTTAACAGCTCCTGGTTGTTGGAGGTTGCGACTTTTAATTTCAAATCCTTGCTGTGGATTGGATATAGGAATGAAATGCACTGCTTGGGAGCAGTCTATTGCCATCAGTACCCTTCCGCGGCTCTCGACACTCATGTTCATGCCAGGGCAATATGATCCATCAACACGTGAAGATAACAAAATTATTCGTAATGTTTCTGGAGTTGGGCCAGGAGAAGCCATTTTAACGTCGCATTGGCACCTTGCATCTCTGTCAAATCGGCTATTTTTGAGAAATACGCTTTGGTCTTTTTGAGTATTCGGCATGTCACCACACAGGTCACCCACAAATGGCGGTATTACTGGACAGACACCGGCATAGGTTGTGTCAAATACAACATAGGCAGTAATTATGAAGATCAACTTTACATCAAAAATCATCTTAAAAGACTTTTCGCAAATTAAATGGAACCAGAACACAAATCAGATGAAGAACCGCAGCAAACTGCACCACCAAAATGTAAGGTCCTCTGTATTCTATGTAATCTCTTCTCAGGCTGCAGTAGTTCGTTCAACACTCTCCAATGTGATTATTCATATAACATTTAAAATCTGATCCGATAGGAACTGATAATTGTAATTGCGGTCTATATTTATATAGTTTTCCCTCACCATGGTTTGTTAATTAATCTAGTATTGTCAAAAGTTAAATAGACAAACACAGCTTGATAGATGATGATATGAATTTTAAATCTCTAGCAGTTATATTTCATCACTATTTACTTATTAACGGTGATTAAGAATCCATTTTAGTATTTTTTTTTCGACCCATGCAAGGTCATAATTAATCGCTATGGACTTTGTGCAAGCCCCATCGCTCGCTTATTGGAGGTAACTCCTGCGGGGTTGACAAGGAAAGGACGTCTGGGTCGTTTCGATAAGTAAAGAGAATAATTAACATAACAGGACGGGGGTAATTGAGCGGTGTGAGAATTGAATTTTTGAAACCCGGGGTGACATAATGGTTCGGTGGAACAATCAAGAACACAGATTCATATGTTGGCACGCAGTTATTAAACAGTCGATTGTCAGTTGGAATACGGAGAACAGAAAACAATGTCTTTCAAGCATGGAAACATGTAAATTATCTCTCTCTTGCAGCATTGACGTCTCGAATATAAAGTCCCGAGTTCAGATCGGGGCCGAGAAGTAGCTTTGGGAATTCCCCAGCACTGTTCTCAATTGCCAACCGATTGGTCTAATAAAGACGAGTATACGTCATGCAGTGTGGTACCACGCCGGAAAATCCCGATTAACATTCTCGGCCAATGTCAGGATCGAACACGGGACAGGTTATCGAGTCAGTGTTTACTCATTGAGCCACCTCGGCTCCGTCTTCATTAATCCGTTTGTTGCAGTAAAGTAAGACGTTAAACCCAAGTTTCAATTCGTTTTTATTGTTCTCCGTTTAATATTCCGTATTTTATATTTTATCGAAAAGAAGACGAAATATTTCTTAAACATACATTATGCAAGAGCTAAATCTGTCAATTGCATGTCTTTCTTTAGGCCTGAAATGTTATCGAAATTATATATTAGACATTAATTAACCTATCTAGACCATAATCAGCTCTCGATGTCATTGCTAGCCGACGATATTTACTGGGTTAGAATCCGAACTGCTGTCCATCGCTCATTGATGATTAAATTTAAAAATGAATAATCGAGACTATGTTTTTTTTATCGTACCAACTTTAGTAATGATGATCGAGGCTAGGCCCAAAATTCAATCGCTAAATTCTCGGTTCAGAGTGGATCAGTTTGACTGAAATATTCAGCAAATTCCCTTTACATCATCTAGTTTTGAACTACTATATAGTGAGAACTGCCAACTCTTTATCTAATCTCCCATAATGTATCTTTAATTAGATTCCTAAAGTCTCTGAATGTCATTTGAGGGATTGTGGAATCCCTTGCAAACTACAATATTTTGAAAGTGTAATTTCTAAAAGGAATATACCTACCAAAACCCCACATTATTGAAAAACATTGATCCTTTTATCAAATCCGGATCAAAATGTGTGTGTTTTTTTTTAAAAAAAATAAAAGTAGACTGCTGTAGAGATTTTGTTTGTTTTTGTGGGGGTTTTTTTTGGGTGGTCACGATAAGCGGCTTATAATAATAATTCCTAATGACATTGATGTGTAATTGGAAATACCCTTCATCTGTCCGCACTGTTTTTGTTCATAACGTTTAGTTTCGGCAATAATACAAAAGTGCAACAAATGATGAAATCGGGTTTAACGTCCTACTTTTCTGCACCACCGAGGTAGGCCTAATGAAAACGGACATACGCCATGTAATGTGTTGTGGACGAATTTCACAGCATGTCATTTTCTTCCATTGCCGCCGAACATTATATGAACTTATCCGGGATTTTGCAGTTAGAAAATCTAGGAAAAGGCTATTTAAATACTAGTATATGTGAGTTTTGTTTAATTTAGAAGGATACAAATATTTTTTACGGTCGTTTTTTTAAGTGTAGATCCCGACACCCAATTCGCAAACCAAATTATACAATATTAATTAAATCTACTTATTTTACCCAAAGCAAATAGGTCTAGCCATTTTTGATTCATTCTAAATATCGCATTGCTAAATATCGCATTGGGAAAGAACCAAGGCTATAACTCTATTTATATGTAGTCACAATTATTTGATAAATGGGTAAGTAACGGAGCTGAGAGCTATAAATAAATAAGTCGACGTGACCTGTAATAAGAACTGATGGAAACACCGGAAGTTGGCAGTACCCTCTAGCGGGGTTTCCCTATCGTCGGTCTCTCGTCGCCATCTTCTAGGTTGGTAACGTGTGTCGATGAATAGGCACATTTTAAATCCGATTTCATCCGACTTACTAAACTACTCTAAATGAAATTTTTGTAGGATTTCAAACAATGAAAACTTCCCCCGTCACAAGAATACTCTTTTTCTCTTTTTCCGTTAGTTGTTGACTCAATATGAATGCTTTTCTCAACATAAACATACGGACTTGCAAATAAACAAAACGAATGTCTGGATAGAACCTAATTTGGGATTCAGTCTTGTGCATGGACGTGTTATTGAAGTGAATTATTTTATTCATTCAAAAAGCAAGTTAAATTCCACTGCTGTTCCATCCACTTGGCGCAGGATATCAGTTCGCCACAGATAGAGTTAAATAAAATCAAAATTGTGATGTAATTACTCATACTCACATACTGTCATTGTATTGTTAATAATGTTATTGTAATTCATTGTATGTGCAAGCCTAAAATAGGACCCACAGTTACAGTACAATAGAAATAGGTGTGATGCTTAATTTCAAACCATTACTAGTGTTATCTATCGCACGCCATGTACAGAGGCGTTGGCTCACTAAGTCGCAAGGACTCCAGGAGGCTCGGGGTTCGATCCTGGTGTTGGCCAGGAAAGTTCCCAGTAATTCCCAGCATTGTATTTATGGTATTGGTCAGTTATTGGTCACGTGATTAACTATATGATAAAAATGGCATGTCAGAAAATTTCCTGGCATTTTAAACACTTAACGAGTTTTGGTAAATTTTAGGGGGAAATGCCATCAATTACTAGGCTACCCCTCCGAAAAAAAAGGCTAAATTTGCATGTTTCATGTGTAAATACATTCGGCCTTACGAGCGCATTATAAAGGTAAACAGAACCGCGTGTATATAATTCTAAAATTAGCACGATGACATGCGCAGTTGTTATTTACGACCCTTTAACCTTGTAATCTTTCGCGAAAGAGTTCCCTGTATATTAAATACAATATTATTTCACTATAAGTATGACTTCATTTCTATTTTATTATAGATCATTTATTTGGTTTCTATTCTATTGTTTATCATTGTCTATCAATACCAAGAATCTTGATGGCGTAGTCAAATGAGCCCTTAGTAGTGTGGACTGCAAGGGAAGACAACTCTGTTTGGGAGATTGGTGAAATGTATGATTTCTGAAAGTGGGCGTCACTTGTTTCTAATCAGCTTACTGATAATACAAACGTTTAATGTGGAAAAATTAAATGTACAAATTTATTTTTAGTTTGATTGACATCTAAAGAAAGAAGAATGGCTAAGTCAAAGAATGCTTCACAGCATCATAATAGTAAGTACCGTACTGTTAAATCAGACAGGAGCCAGAGAGGTTTAGTAAGATGGTTTACTGACCTGTAGGTCCTGTCACTGATTCCTGCGTTACCATCTGGAATTTCTGGCGTGTTTCCCCCTTGTACATGTAGTCCTCACATTTGATGGAAAACAGAGGTCCCGTGTACACTTGGCCATCGGCATGCACGTAGACAACCCTTGGCACTTCGAATTCAAAATAAGAGTAGGTCATAGTGCTGATGTCTGGGCAAAATTTCCCTTGTGAGTCATAGCACACTATGACATATGCCCGTCTTCATAGCTCAGTCGGAGCAGATCAGTAGGACGTTCAACCAGAGGTCGCAGTGGACCAATTTCGAGTTGCGTAAAAATACGCAGACATTCCAAAATTTTGCGTTTTTGCCCTCTACATCTGCGTGAAGAGCCTCCCAAAATACTCAATATAGAAGCATGTAAAGTCGTTTTGTGAACAACCCTATTTTAAGCGTCCTTATTTCATTGATATGCCTACTGTATTTAGTCTAATGACTGGAGGTTAACGGCATGTCTACGGTTGACGGCACAGTCATTTCAATCTTCTATTCGACAGGACGTAAAGAGAAAACTATCGCTATGAAAACCAACATTTGATTGGCTGAATGTAAACAGTATGTCTTGTTCTTGCCAATCCTAAGTCTTGTGTGAAATGCGCTTTATTGCTTCCAATAGGATAGCTACGTAGGCTTAATGCCATGGACGTATGAATGAAATAAGAGGAAATATAGAAAACTACGGAGACAACGTACAGTAGAGGTGTGTAAATGCCGGGTGAAGCACATAAATTGTACAAACTATGACATAGAATAATCTAATTATTCTCACGTCGGGGAAATTTTCTGCATGTAAATTACGCAGCGTCCGTCAATATTTGCGTTTATTTGCGTGACTGCGACCTCTGCGTTCAACCCCATTTCATTTCATTTTGTATATAGGCTTGGACTCAACACAGACGACCTTTCGGACTTGTTTGACGACGGGTTGAACTTACTTGACGACTTTTCGGACTCGATCTGGCAACGTTTCGGACTCGGATGAATAATTAACTAATCAAATCAAAATTATAGCTGATTGACCACTCATATTTTTCCTCGTCCTCTAAAGAACTGTAAGGTTTCTTTGTGCATACTACAATAACAGGGATTATCGGTTAATCAGCTTTAATTAAAGAACTGCCAGCTCTTTATCTAAGTCTTATATAACGTATCTTTAATATAAAACCAGATAAAATGAACTCCAAAACAAATTTGTATCTTTTCAGACCGAAAGGACCATAGAAATGGTATCCATAAAGCTAAAAAAGTTTATAAAAGTGGTATGAAAGGGGTAAGTTGTTTAGTTATTCATTCTATATATATAGTGCAGGTCATACTGGTGTTGTGTGTCAGAGTGACTAAATCTACACACTGTAGAATGTAAAGCATGTTCATTGGTGTACAGGCCGATTTTCCTTTGGGGGGTAGAGCTGTATCATCCCTGCTCCAAAAAATGCAACATATGAACCTAAATAACTTTACCACAAAATAACTGTAGTAAAATCTCGAAAAAGACCACCAGTTGTACCTAGCGGAGCAAATTTTAGGGAACTTCAGTTTGATTTTGAGAACTAGACACCCTGAATCAATATCGGAATTGTGTGATTTTCTGAAACTGTGAACTAGGGTAAACTGGCAATTGAATCATTCCACACAATGTCACAGTTTTATCCGATTTTGACGAAACTTGAAATATAGATTTATCCCCTAAAGATCTCCGCTCCTTTCGATATTAGCATGTATTGGACCGTAATTTTAAGAATTATGGTCCCTGGTAATACAAAAAATCACGTTTTTAGCTTGTGGACACTCTAAAAGGTCACAATTGTGTTCCGTTTTGATGAAACTTAAAACCCAAAGTTCTCGCTTCCTTTCAATATTCGCATATATCAGACTGTAACTTTCTGGATAATGCCTCCTGATTGTACGAAAAACTGTGTTTTTAGCCTGTGATCCCTCTAGAGGTCACAATTTTTATCTGATTTAAAAAAAATGTAAAATTTTTTGAATATTTCGCCGTTACGCCCTGATGACAGACGAGTGCAAATTTCATGAAACTCATATCCAAACTACCCGACAAAATGGCCGCTCCATGTACACAAATAGTGTAAAAGTATGTAATACCCATGTTATACCATCGATCCTCTAGAAATCACAATTTTTTTTGATTTTGATGGAACTTGGAAATTTATGTTTATATCCCAGAGATCTTGGTTCCTGTTGATATTCGTGCATATCAGACTGTAACTTCACCTTGTTAGCGATACAGGACCTGACAAGGACAGCTGTCAAGTCATTTGGATGGAACGGAAAACCGAGGTTCATGGCATGCATGTAAAAGATCCCTTGGCAGTTGGAATTCGATGTAAGAGTATACCTTAGTGCTGCTGTCCAGCCGAAATTTCCCTTGTAGCACACTATTGCATATACCCGTTTTCATTAGCCCAGTCTGAGCATGGCCCCTGATTGTACGAAAAATCACTTATTTTGTTAACTTTTTCTCTGTTCATCAGTTGCAAAATGTGGGTGTATCTTGCAACCGCTTGTTTAGTGTATTGTAATAAATGCTCCCATGATAACCTGCGAAAGAAGTTTAAAAATGTAACTGCCTTCATGGACTGTTTTGTTAACTTTTTCTCAGTTCATCTGTTGCAAAATGTGGGTGTATCTTGCTCATGGCAACCGCTTGTTTAGTGTATTGTAATAAATGCTCCCATGATAACCTTCGAAAGAAGTTTAAAAATGTAACTGCCTTCATGGACTGTTTAGATAACTTTGCTGTTGTGGACTTTATCTTTAGTGGCCTAGCAACCTATCTTTAATAAACGTGATTAAGACTAACACAAGGTTGTCTAAAAAAAAATGGTATTTTTTTTCAGGCCCTGCTGCCGTCAGACATTGATATTGCTAGCATTCTGAGATGATCAATGTCAGATCTGTTACTAAAGGGATATAACTCTGTTTTTGTCCTTAACCACATTTGCTTCCTTCTGAACTGAAGTTTGTTTAAAGACTGTTCTTAATCTTCACTCTTCACAAGACTCGTCTGTTTGAGAAATATACAGTACTTTTGCAAGAAAAAAGATATGATACTGTAAAATAAAAAAATAATAAAAACACTGAACACAAATGGACAAGATCCGTTTAGATTTGAGATATAATATGTCTACCCTGTGTATCATTTTACCGACTTGACTTGAATGGTTTCTTAAAATGTAGATTTATGTTTTGTTTTATACTTTGTCTTCTACAGGTGGACCAGAAATACGTACTGAATTTAAAATGGTCCCGTAAAAATAAGAACCCCTCTACCAGACAAATTAAAAAATTACAAGAACGTATGGATAATTGGAACAAAGCCCGAGGCATGCCAGTCAAGCCTATTGTCTTAAACAGACAGGTAGCAGAAAAAAAAGCATTAATGGCCACCCGACAAGGAAGAGCAAAGTTAATGCAATAAACTGTATGAAATAAAAAAAAAATATTAAAACCAAATATTATCTATTTCTTTGTATTAGTACCATATATCGGTCCTGACCAGCTTTTATATTAGAAGGGCATTGAGGTAGTTGAACCTTCAAGGAACTGGACTCTGTACTCAGTGCCTTGTGTCTTTTTGGGCTTGTGATATTTCAACGTTGTTGCGGGCCGGGAAAATGGTTTGTGATATTTCAATGTCGGTGCAGGCTGAGGAAAGTGTTTGGAATACAGTAGAATCTGTATGAGCAGCCACTCCTATTCAGCGACATCTCCTTGTAAGTGGTCACGATAAATCCCCCCCCCCCCCCGCGTAAAAATTCCATTGTTACATCTCTTCAATCAACGGTTACTCCTCTAATGCGACCAGTGTTCACTGTTTTACTAATACATTTAACAAAACATTGATGCAAGTATTGGTGTTTGCTTCCAATGCAACCAAGCATAATATTTAATTGATGTCGGCACAAAAACACTTGAGATTTTATTAAGAGGCCACTCCTGTTAAGCGTTCAGTCTTGAAAATTCCTTTGAGCTTAATACAGATTCTACTGTAGTTCAATGTCAGCGCAAACTGATATTTCAGTCTGGGCGTGTGCAATGCGAGTTACGAGAATTTTGGCCTGACAGTAGTTAGACCACTTTCCCTACCTGAAGAAGCATACCCCACCCTTTCCCAGGAAAAACATCCCAAATTATGCATGTTAGTGTTTTCGTGGGAAAAAATAAAGTGGATGTGAATGTCATTTATCCTACTGTTCCGCCAGTAAAAAAGGGTGGCTCATTAAGACGTTGGCTCGCCAACCTGGAGATCCCATGTTCGATCCCGGTGTTGGTCATAAAAGTTCATCAAGGTTTTTCGGCGTGGTTCCTCCTTCTCGGTGGTCAACGTATAGCTGTTTGGATGGGACGAAAATCTGAGGTGCGGTTCTCCTGCACGTAATATAACGTTGCGTACGAAAGCACTGTAATAAAATCAACGAGGCATGCAAAAACGGTGATATGCCGGAATTGTAACACCAGCCATCCCACTTTTTTTTTTCGACCCCAAATTTTATGCACGGATAAATAATGATACAAAATTTAAATGGGTACGTATCCATTGGTCATCACTGTTGTCCACATTTCGGTGTTGACACCTTAGAGGCTGCCGTCCTCATTAGACACGTTGGAGCAGAAGAATAGGAAGTCAACCCCGTGTCATATCATTTCTTTACAGACTAACGTGGCCAGTCGCTTTCCTTTAGGTCTAAGTGGGTAAGACGCGGACTCGCTAGTCTATAGAACGTGTGTTCGATCCCTTCATTGGCCAAGAAAGTTAATCAGGATTTGCTGATGTGGTTTCCGCGTATCAGTGGTACAGGACGTAAGGCCTGACAAGTACAGCTGTCTAGTCGTTCGGATGGGACGAAAAACCGAGGCCCCGTGTATACATTGGCGTGCATGTAAAACCTTGAAAGTTGGAAGTAGATCATAATGCCGCTGCCCGGGTAAAATTTTCCCTATGGCACACTGTATGGCATATGCCTGTCTTTCTTAACCCAGTGGGAGCAGAACAATAGGACGTTAGACCTCATTTCATTTCCTTTAGGTCAAAACAAAATACCCGTGTTACGATTACTTGGCGCCTCAAAATAGGGTCGGTCGGGAAATCATTTTTATACGCCCACATGGAAATGTGGACGTGTTGCTGTCGCCCCAGTTCGTCCGTCGTCCATGAAGCTGAAGAGGCGACCCCACTCCTTGTCAGGTACAACCGGGGAATCAAAACCAGTTGATTCAGTGACAGATCTTATGATAAAAACGCGCACACGCGAACCATTCGGCCATCCCCCCCCACACACACAGACACAAACACACGCCCCTGGTAGTAATCACTGAACAACTTGTTATAACTAATGAGAGATAAACGGAGCAGATCAGATACCGTCTGTCGCCTGATCACTAGTTTATCCGACCCCAGAGAGGAAAGTGTCAAACGAACGGAATTGCAAACCTCAACGAAGCCCCCGAAAATCTGAAAAATAGATTCCCGGAAATACACTCTAGCAGTATTTCAGGCATTAATAGACGAGTCAAATAGAGCTTACCAGATACCGCCTGTCGCCAAATCACTAGGTTATCCCTTCAGAGAGGAAAGTTTTAAAACGAACGGAGTGAGTGAATCAAAGTGAATGCATATTTTCGCCACGATTCTTTGAGAAATAGACTGTCTGGCAGTATTTCAGACACTGCTCGTCGAGATAAAATGATCTGACCAGATACTGTTCGGCACCAAACCACCAGCTTATCTGAACAGAGAGGGCGATATCAAACGAACGGAGTGGAGTGAGTGTGTATTCTCGCCGCGTCGGCCCCCTAGCCCCCCCCCCCCCCCCTTGGCCCCGCACTGCACGATGGCTCGGAGTTTGCCGATAAAGCGCCTTCCTGGTATCTCCGTGTTATTATTGCAGGAATGAGAATCTGACTAGGAAAAGCGTCTGGCCGTTCGGGTGGAACGGAAAGCTAGGGTACCGTGTAGACGTTGGTGCATGCGTAATAGAACCCGTGTCAGTTCGAATTGGATAATGAGATGAATGGAAAACCGATGAACGATCAAAATGTTCCTCATAGTACACTGCAACCAAAACCAGAGATCAAACCTTATTGAAGAAGGCAATGAAATGGGGTTTAACGTCCTACTGTTCTGCTCCTGACTGGGCTAATGAAGACGGGCATACGCCATACAGTGTGCTATGAGGGAAATTTTGCCCGGGCATTGGCACTATGGCCTACTCTTATATTGACTTCCAACTGCCAATGTATACGCGGGACCTCGAGTTTTCGTCCAATCTGAACGACTAGACAACTGCCATTGTCAGGCCATCCGTTCTGCACCACTGACCAATGCAGGGATCGAACACGCGACACACTTAGTCACCGTAGCCCCCCCCCCCCCCACCTCCCTGAAGGCAATAGAGCAGACAAAAACAAAAAACACATGATTATTATATTATTTAAACAATATAGTACAAGCCATTTAGAAATTCATCTTTTTATAAATAAAATTCATTTACAGTGTTCTTTTTTTTATAAATAAAATCATTAACTACATACAACTTTATAGACCACAGCCTTTCTTACACAGGGATCGTTAGCAGTGGGGAGAAAATCCACTCGATTCGGCTAGAAGTATGAATCCTTGACTGAAAACACGACACTTGCGCTAACCTACACGACCCTTGTGAAATGGCGTTTTAAAAAGGTACTACAAAATTAATAACTATGTACAATTCATTGGTATGTACAGGAGGGGCGTGGTGACCCATGATTTTTCATGAGGAACAAGATCCCATCCGGGCCCCCCAAAAAGCAATATTTATATGTGTGTGCGGGGGACGGGGTGGGTGGCAGTCCCTCACAGTGTCACTGGGAAATATTGGGGTGTGTGGAACATGCTAGAGTCGATTTGTAGCATATCTGACCCACGGTATATGTTTGACATTGGTTGGGCATTATCATTATGATTATAATTTTGAAAACCGCATTGAAACCGCGTGATCTTTTGCAATTTGCGAGTGGCTCAAAAACTCAAGGGGGCGCAAAAACTCAAAACCATGACGCAAAGCTCGTCACTGCACCCCTCTCACTTAGCCCCCGATTTACAGAGTGTATATCCTGCCAAACACAACGTACCTTTCGTCATTTAATTGCTTGTCCGGAAAGCTTTAACATGTACCTAAAACAGTAAACGTATCTGCACATTTTGATTCCTTTTAATCACAGAGAATAATTCACTATAACAGTTTAGCAGTACACGTACTGTCTAATAAATAACGATTATCTTTGGATAAATAAAGCATTAATCAATGTACAGCATCTTAATATATATAAATCTATATATAATTCTTACCCTGTTGTTTGATATATAGACTGTATTAACAAGTCCTACGATGTATTATAAAATTCGATTATTTTGTTATATTTCGGATTATTCCGACAAACGATTACTTTGTTATATTTCGGATTTTTCCAACAAACGAACGTAAACTTCTGACCCATCCTTGGTTGTTGTAGACTGTTCCTCATCCTCGTAAGACACGCTCAATTTATAGAGATCCGGCAAGCTTACGTTACTGCGTTTCAACAGGTCGGATGAGGAACACTGGTTCATGTCATCGTTGAATCCGGCTGGAGTGAGCGTGATCTTCTTTCGAACAATAGGCGTGCCGACATTCAGAACAGTGTCTTTCTTAACCTGTTTAGATTTCGCGGTGGTGCCGATTTGATAGCAAGACAACAACCGGAAGTAAGCCAATCGGAATTGCGAGTTCATTAGACCGTATATTAGTGGGTTGAGAGCACTGCCAACGTAAACAGTTATTATACAAAACATGTGAAATCTCTTCGATAAAACTCTATTCCAGTCTATTACACTCGAGACGGTGCAAGGGAAATACGACAGAATGAACACCAGAAAGATAATGATCATCATCCTCGTGAGGTGCATTTCCTTTCTGTGGTTGTTATACTCTATAGCTGACTTGGAGATAGACCTGGACATACGAAGATGACTTTGTCTGGTTGTGTAGTAAATCATCATATAATAATAAACAATTAGAATGCACGGTACAGCGGCTCGAACAATCAACAAAAACAACTTAAACGATTGACTCTCGTGATTTAACATTAAATTACACGTAACCAACATGGCGACGTAACCAAATTTCCCCCATATTTCTGTTAGCGCCGGAAGTAGACATATCACCGGAAACACCCAGGCAACAACAATCATGATCTTTAGATTCCTTGGTGCAAATATGCTTTTATATCCTGCTGGATCCAAAATCAATTTATATCGGTTCCATGCTATTAATGTAATGGTGATGATAGTTGTACCTGAAATGAGAGAATCACGTTAGTGTGAAGTTTTATTTCTAAAAGGAAATGTAGAGTAAAAAAACATGGCATCACTGACTATAAATCTCTCTGTAATTCATCAAAATGTCCAAGACTTCAAAGGGGGCATCATTTCACAGACGGAGACAAATTGTGTAACAAAAAAATGGCGATTAACTTTTTCTTTTGACGCTGTTATAGTTAACAACATGGTATTTCTAAATGGTACTTTCAGTGAGATATTTCCACTGCAAATATCTATGTCGTAATCGATACATCCGATTCCGTTACACTGAATGTCGACATGCTCGTAAATATCGCAATCCTCTATTTCGAGATACTACGTCAAGATAGAATATGTTGACAAAGCATTAGAAAATTAATATCTTAACGCAAAGTGCATATTTCAAACGAAAAAACGACATACAACCATACAACATCGCACGTTGATTTGGTAAACTCTGCAAAAATTGTCTTTTGAGGGGTAAAATATCGCGATGTCCATCGCGCTATTGACCCTTGTGCTTCCTTATAAACCTAAAACATTAAATCTCTTTGATCTTCGGGGTATATTCTATGTCCGGAATAACTGAAAGTCGGGGGCCGCTTTGGATATAACCAAGGATATCTGGGGTTATTCTTCTGAAAGTTTTTCTTTAAACCTGTAACGGGGTATTCTTCCAGAGTAGGGTTTTTTTCCATAACAAAACATGATATAAGTAAATAAAATAAAATCAAGTTATACGAAAAATCCAAACCATTAGACAAAATTCGAAGTCCTAAAAAAACGGTATAGGCAAAATAGTGTAATAAGGCAAAATAGTGTAATCAGCATAAGGTTTTTCTTACGGGAATTCTGGGATATTCTCATTTGCGCACATGTCAAGCAAGATAAGCAAGATAAAGTCCTCGACTTCGGTTATGCTGGGTAAGTAAGACTTCAGAAAAAACTCTCAATAGACAAACCTCGACCTGCCGGCCTCGGTGTTTCTTTTTCTCAGGTTATTTTCTTCAGTCTGTTTTTCCCCAGCATAACTCCAGTCTCGTGCTTTATCCTATACATAAATAGCAGTTTTGAGTCATATTTTAGACTATACTTTTCTTAATATTGATGAACCGTTTAAAACCGCAGTAAACCTAAAATTAACAATATTTTCATCCTTTTAAATGGCTTCTCGAGGCCAAGGTGTCGGTCAGTAATTCCTGTCTGAGAGGTTAATTCCACTTGTCATGGATTCCATCGTTTTATTGTGACGAAGACGTCGACAGAGATACCCTTCAAGATATAGGGATGGCAACAAATTAATGAGTTGGTTTCACTGCGAGTTGTGGTGGCCACTAGCGTCTTTTTACATATGGGGGAGGGGTGTGGGTGTGGATGGCCGAATGGTTAGAACGTGCGCGCTGTAGCATTATAAAATTGTATAATGATAAGTTTGTATGCCAACCCTAATGCCTAACACGGTTCGATGGTGTTGTTCCTTTAAAAAAAGAAATCTGTTCGAATTGTTTGATTTTCTACATTTTCAAGTCTTTTGGGGGCGTCGAATGCCCGAATGGTTAGCATGTGCGCGCTGTATCATAAGATGTGTCATTGAGTCAACTGGTGTGGTTTCGATTTCGCGGTTGTACGTGACAAGGAGTAGGGTCGCCTGTCCAATCTCGTGGGTTTTCTCTGGGTCCCCCGGTTTCCTCCCACTGCTAAAGACCCCTACGCGCAAGCGAAATATTAAAATAAAATTAAACCATGTGTTAGTCCCGAAATGACCTAATTCGTGCCGAGTGGATGTTAAACCCCATTTCTGTCTCTCTCTTTTTACACATTTCACTGTTATCCGCTTTGAATTCAGGTCGCACTCACGACATTTACGAGAACTTGAACTCGAAATCACGACAGATCAAGGACGAAATCTTGTTTGCCTGGCAACCTATCTTTATACACTGGCTTTGTGAGTTAATTGTTAAAGCACTTTTATAGACACGACTTTATACAATCTAGAAATTTGCAACGGAAATGAGGTCTATTGTTTTCCTTAAATCGTGTTTAACAAAGCACCCATAGAATTCTAGAAATCTGAAATCGGATTGAGTATCAATAACTTTTACTGATTCTGATGATTACAAATTCGATCACGCCATATATTCGTAGGCGACCCGAGTCATCAAGAAATCTGTCAATCGGAATCTATTAATCTGTCTTTTAAGTAAGAATAGTATTGAATATAGCTGATCTAATTTTGATTTAATGGATTGTACGTCGTATTAATAATCCTTTGGAGGCGTTTTGTAACTGGATTGACAGAGAGAGAAAGAGAGAGAGAGAGAGAGAGAGAGAGAGAGAGAGATAACCCACGAGGATGAACAGGCAACCCTACTCCTTGTCACGTACAATCGGGGAATCGAAACCACGCCAGTTGACCCAATGACAGACCTTATGACACAGCGCGCACGTGCTAACCATTCGGCCATCCAACCCCCCAACTAGATAGAGAAATAACCGATAACACCCACTTATGCAAGAACAATTACTGATTTATTTGGGCGACGTTTCGAAGGGTTCGACATGGGTTACCCTTGTCAGTGGTGCAGGACGGAGGGCCTGACAAGGATGAGACGAAAAACCGGGACCCCGTGTATACATTGGCGTGCATATACATATCCCTTGGCAGCTGGAATTCGATATATGAGTACGCCATAGTGCCGCTGCCCGGGCGAAATTTCCCTCATAGCACACTGTATGGCGTATGCCCGTGTTCATTAGCCCAGTCGGAGCAGAACAGTAGGAGGTTAAACCCCATTTCATTCCCTTTAGGTCAATAAACAAAATACCCGTGTTTACGGTTACTTACGCCTCAAAATAGGATCGGTCGGAATATCATTTTGTTTCGACGGGTATTCTCTCAACATTTTTAAGCAAGTACAGTAACATATGTGTAGAGCAGAGAGAGGGAGAGAGAGAGAGAGAGAGAGAGAGAGAGAGGTTTAACGTCCACTCGACGCAGACTAACATATGGTTTAATTTTATTTCAATAATTCGCTTGCGCGTAGGGGTCTTTAGCAGTGGGAAGGAACCGGGGATTCGAAACCATGCCAGTTGACTCAATGACAGGCCTTATTGTACAGCGCGCTCGTGCTAATCATTCGGCCATCCAACCCCCCGTATAGACAAGCAATAACAACAGATTAGAAACCATGCAACCAAGAAGATCCAAGACAAGATACATATAAAGGATTGTGTTAACTGAAAAAGCAATATTTTAATTTAAAACAGATTATTCAATATACCTACCAGTGAGTGTATATCCTAAGAAACCAATAAATTTACAGAGAATGTGATCAAGGAACCAATCATCTTCTATATATGTATATATATTAAACGGTAAAACCATGGTAACAAATAATAAATCACAGACACTCAGATTAACAACAAACTTGTTGGATTCCGATTGTAACTTCTTGTTAGTTTTAACTGCCAAAATGACCATTACATTACCTGAAAATAAAAAAAAATGTATAAGCTTATAATTAATCAGGGTATAAGTTGGGCATTATTGTTTATATTTGTATTTTCATTTATTTTGATAGTTATCGGACCATCCGAACGACTAGACGTTTTTCTTGAACCACTGAAAAGAGGAAAATGGGCTTAAAATCCCGAATCCAAGGCCGTGATTCAACCATAGATCTCCTTGATACTGAATGAGCGTCATATTCACCAAATCACCGCGGCTCCCCGATCTGGACGGTAAATCCTACCAAGACCATGATCGAACCATGGATCTCCTTGGTATTGAGCGAGCGTCATATTCACTAAATCACCGCAGCTCCCCGATCTGGACGGTAAATCCTACCAAGACCATGATCGAACCATAGATCTCCTTGGTATTGAGCGAGCGCCATATTCACCAAATCACCAAATCACCACGGGCTCTGCATCTGGACCGTAAATACTACCAAGGCCGTGATCGAACCATGGATCACCTTGGTATTGAGCGACCGTCATATTCACCAGATCACCGCGACTCTCCGATCTTGACGTAAATCCCAACGCTGTGCAATAGGTATATAATGTCCATAGATAAAGAGAGAACATAAAACGGAATCAATGAAATATTAGGAATATACCTAAAGAAGCATTGTGCAAGAGCTGAAGCTGTCTATTGTAAGTCTTTGTTTTGGCTTCAAATTTTATAAACATTATTATTTGAACGTTTATTCACATGCCAAACCTATAACCAACTCTCTAGATTTCGGACGGTCGAGATTCAAATTAAAAATTTAAAGATTAATCCAGTCTCGATTGTCAAGTACCATTGCTACGATAATAAACAATCTACCCTACATCTTTCGTAACCTCGCGCAGAATAAAGTAATTTAGCTGAAATTTTCAACATTTTAATTTTTTATTATCTATTTTAACAAAAGCGACGACCACTTTATCTAAATTTTATATAATGCATCCTGAAGAAGGGCATATACAGTCTATTTTAATGGATTAATGGTTTGGGCATAAAGACGGAAAAAACGTTAAACGAAATGGTGTGTAAATCAAGGACCGCTTACAGTATAGTTTAATTGATTAATGGATTGGACTTGGATGCGAGAAGAATCTTAAAAAAAAATATAACCTATAGCAAAAATAGCCAGAAGCGGAATTTGAGTTTCAGATTCAAAATCGTTATTTACGGTCAAACTGACACTGTATAACCAAAGACCAGGGTAATCGTTCTTTCAAATTATCGGTCAACTACAACAACTCAAACAATGCTCGATTTCAAATCCGCAGAGAGCATAATTCGATAACGGCCACGTGGGCCAACCTTGCAAACTAAAGTGATTGAAACCAAACGATTCCCCGCTTTTGTGTCTTGTATATATCAACAAAGACTTGATAGATTACAGAGTAAGACTTTATTTAGACGACTCTCGATATTTTATAGAAACATTGACCTCCAGATTGTGTTTGAACCTCTGATTAAATTTTACAGCAATGGCACAGTCTTCGCAGACTCGTATTTATTTTCCCTTGATTTTAATTCTGTTATCTTCAAACAATATTGACATTTAAGTCCAATTTCGGCGCCATGTAACACGAATTTCCTTAGACAGATATAAGCAAGTCAATCTCGATCTGTTAGAGTTTAAATATATTGAGCCAAAATGTTTCTCCGGTAACTGAGGGTATTTAATGTTCTACCGGATGCTGAAAGTTCACACATATAGGCAGATTCTGGTCAATTCTCTTAGAAATCATGTTTTGGCGATGTTCTTACCACAGAATCAATGGACTGGCGTGTCTGTAGATACAGATATATAATATAATGTTAATAAAAATCGAATATTAAGGAACCGACGGCTTTGGTATATCTAGGAATATTAAGATAGAGAGTTTTATGGCTTCGCTAATTACCACATACTTATTGCGATGTTTCGTTTGATAAGGTCACATGGGTTTGATTTACTGTTCTTCAGGAACACATGTAAAAAAAATTATTCCCGTCTTATTTCTTCGGGAAAAAGACTTACATAAATCTGAAAGTACTTGGCTGTGCTGTTCAAAAGCTTTTAGTTCCATTTTTATTTTATGTTTTGAAATTTAGAAAAATGTATATATATAATAGCAGTAGTAAGTGGTTGTTCTAATGTACAGTATTATATAATCGATGTTATTTTTATATTTTATACTATGAAGCAAATCGGTGTTATTTGGTGTTATTTTTATATTTTATACTATAAGAAGCAAATCGGTGTTATTTTTATATTTTATACTATAATATATGTAATAAATATATATTTAATGTGATTTAAGTGCAGTGGCTATTTATTTATCCAGACCGCGAAGAACAAAAACCCAATTTGGCGTGGCCTGACGTTTCAGATAAATGGGAAGCCGGGAATTGCAAAACAAGATTAACATTTCTATTAACAGCACATTTTGTTGGCCCTGGGTACTTACAACGACATTTCGCACATGGTAAGGGAGATCTTATGCTCGGATTAATCAAAATTTGATCGACTTGTTCTGATTTTATAACTCTAAGCCATTCATTTTTAAATGAAGAGCCGAGGTTGAATTGTTTTTATTTTTCTCCCTATAGATGCTATTTTATTCGTTTTACTACACCATTGGGCCTTTTTTGTGCAATATTGTTTTTATTTTTCTCTCTATGGATGCTATTTTATTCGTTTTACTACGTCATTGGGCCTTTTTTTGTACAGAATGAATTTTAGTAGAGTCCAGAGTATAGTGGAAATATTGCTTTTTCTTCTGTTGTTTATCTTCTTCTATTAAAGAATCTAAAACCTCGTGAAGTGTAAAATTATTAATGCAGATGACCCCATACATGTTGTTTATCTTAATCAATTTAAATGTAAAAACATATGCACCATTTTAATTTTAAAAACACGCGTTATTATTATGTAATAAAGAACATACTTCATGAATTTTGAACTTGCATATACGAAATAGATAATATAATTGTTATAATTGTTATTACTTGAAAGATCTATGACACATCAAGATGGGGATGTGACATCCATTGAATTTAATGTAAACTATAAATGACCATACATTGAATTAGAATGAGTCGTTTTGAATATTTTTGGGCCAAGATGGGTTTTAAAATAAAAGAAAATAGTTGTAGTTGGGCATAGTCCGAAACTTTTATTGTGGCATTCCAAGGATTACTTAATAAATATAACCCATTGTCTATTAAATAGTTTTATCAAATTTAACAGAAGACTGTATTTGACATTTTAATAATTTAAAACAGAGATTTCTTGCATGGGGAGGCATCAAGTACAGTATTAGCGGAGGTGGTGTAATTATAATATCTTAGAGGTTACCGTTACACTGATTACACTAAAGGTTTTAATATAGCAATGTTATCCCAAATTTGCAAAAGTTTATCCGTTCTATATACATCGACTCAAAGAGATAACCAAAGTTGCCTTTATTTATAAATAGTTATGATTTTTGTTTATAAATTCAGATTTTTAAAAAAAAATCTTTTAATGTATGATAATACAGTGAAATCTCGATACGAGATTTTGGCTTCAAATGTTATATAAACATTTATCTCTCTAGGCCATCGGATGACTCCGATCTTTAGTAGATCAGAACGCTTCGACCTTTTAATAATTTAATTCAAAAATGGAGAAGCTAGGCTAAGACTCGAATAACCAATCAACGGTAATAAACAATCAACGCCACATATTGTCAAAACTCCAAATAGTGATAACTTCGCTCAGAATAAAATAATTTAAATGAAATTTTCAATATATCCATTATCTATTTTTGAGCTAGGATAGCAAGAATGTGTGGCTTTTTATCTAAATCTTACATAATGTATCGTTAATTGTGGAGTGCTCTTCATACTGAGCTGGAATCCCAAGATACGGATTTCATATTTTGTATATGTCATTTTAGTAATGCGTAAAAGAACCGTCCCAGATATTTTAGTGAAGAAAATTATTTAATTCTGCGTAAGAGAATCTTGGAAACCCTTAATCCCAGTCGTGTACCACTATTTGAAGTTTTATGATACTTATCACAGACATTTCAGTTTCCATTATTTTCGCCGATAAGTCCTAAAATCCCACGCTAGTTTTGGGTGCGTGGCATGGATAGTCATGTCAACATAGTGGTAAGTGATTACTGTTCCACTCGTAAAACTGAACCGTAGAGTTCATTAAATGAGTTACGGAAATGAAATAAATTGAGTTTGACGTTCGACTCTTCTGCTCCGATCGGGCTAATGAAAACGAGCTCCTGCCATACCGTGTGCTATGAGGTGAGATTTTGCCCCCACAGCGGCACAACGACCTTCTCTTATATCGAATTCCAACTGTCAAGAGTTATTTTACGTGCATGCCAATGTGAACACGGGACCACGAATTTTACCCCACCCGCACGACTAGACACTGTCCTGCTCAATACTCTGAAAGAAATGAAATGAAATGAAATGGGGTTTAACGTCCCACTGTTCTGCTCCGAATTGGGCTAATGAAGACGGATACTCTTGAAAGGCAAGCTATTCACGCTATTTCATCTCATTTTTGCGTTTAATCTGTCTGCTCAACCCCACTTTTATCAACAGGTACCATGTCAAATCTAGGACTCCCTCTTTAAAATGACAAGTTCTTTAGAAATTGTGGAGTGGATAAATTGATGCCGCTGGAAACATACGGTAACTTTTTATTATTTTCTGGAAGCGGAAAAACGACAAGAGTACGTGATGCATTTAATTATTTCGTGTAACGATGACTGACAGATTCAAAGGATTGTTGTTTATTAGAGTTATCTGTCGGTATAGATACGGTTTTATAATTTACAATTTAGGCACGGAGGCGACGGTTTATTTTTTTAGGTTTTTAAAATGAATGAATTACTTCGGTCATGTTTTTCCCCACTCGATTCGGTAAAAAAGATGTTTAAATCACGAAGACTGCGTATTTTTAATTTTCAAAATTGACGTCAAATGCTGTCTAAGA